ACCTCCTCCCTGCGGTGGTCCCCGGTGGCCCCGGCACCGCGGGTGCCTCCTGCCTCCCCTCACCGCCTCCTGGGGCTGGCTGGGAGCAGGTTGCCCATGTAGCTCGTGGTGGGGCCGGGTGCTGGCCGTGACGCCCCTGTCCCGGTGGGCGCGGGGCTGCCCTGGGCATTGGCTTGCTGGGACCCCTGGGCTTTGCGCAAAGCACTTTGTCAGGCAGAGGAGCTTCTCTGCAGGGGCCTGCGAGCTCCCTCGGGGCTCCTGCCCCGTCCCTGCCAGTCACCAGCATGCCAGGGTGAGCACACAGCTTGTCCTGGGGGGGATCTATTTATTCCCATGGTGCTAATCCTGCACCCTGGGTGAGCTGCCCTCCCCTCCCTGGCGAGCGTGGGGTCTCCCTCCCGCTGGCAGACCCACCTCCTGGGGACCCCCGTGGCGTGGGGTGCCCGCCCAGGGCACAGCCTGGGGCTCTGGGCCCCTCTGCCTGCTCCATGCCGTGGGACAACGGGAGAATGGGGGGGCACTGGGGTCTCTGTGTCAAAGACTGACGTATGCCAAAGGAGGGGCCCTTGCTCTGAGTGCCGCTGGGTCCTGTTGACCGTGTCTCTTGTGTCTGTAAAGATTTATTCTGTGTAAATACATCTTTATAATAAAGACTTATGATGACGATCTACCCTTATTTTTGGAGCTGCAGGCAGGGGTTGCTCACCTGCCAGTGGGGAGGGCTTCCAGGGGCCCTCTGCTCCCTCCTGGAGCTGCCCAGTGGCGACTGGGGGCCAAGGCAGCCCCTTCCCCAGCCCGGTGCTGGCAGAGGAGATGCCCAGCAAAGAGAGGAACAAGCTGCAGGACTGCCTGGCCTGTAAAATTGGGGAGGAGGGTGGGAAAGCACCAGAGGTCAGCGTCTCCCAAGCTTGCAGAGGGGCTGGGTGGTGGAGGAGGGGATGCTGGAAGGGCACAGGGATGCTGGTCCAGGCTGGGGCAGCGTGGGGTGAGGGGCTGGGGCTCAGGGACCCCAGCTGCAAATGCTGCCCCAAGCCCCCTGCCTTTATCCCCTTCTGGGGTTTATTTTTCTGCTCACCTGAATTCCCCTCTGCGGTGGGCATCAGCTGCGTGGCGAAGGGCTGAGAGGTAAAAATGGCTTTAAAAGCAGGGAGCAGGGTGGTGGGGGGGGCTCTTCCCCCCCCCCCCCGGGG